GGTAATCCGGTCTCAGACAGCAGCGCAGCGGGTGTCCATTTTTCCGCTAGGGATCCTTCCCCACCCTTCTGCCTCCAGGATCCCGTTGCACTTCCACCGTGTGTCCGGGCAGTTTCGGAGACCAGCGACAAGAGATAGTTGGAGGCAGCGGGCCTTCTCAGACAGTTTCCAGGAGATGCCCACTTGTTGTACTCGCCCAGCTCCCTTCCTTGGCTGCTGCTCCAGGCGATTCCTCTTCGCAGCGAAAACTGCCCCCCCAAATTTCTGTCGCCGGATTCCTAAAGGATCCCTTCTGGTTGCAGTGGACCGAGAGGAAAAAGAGTTGAGGGAGAGGTGAGAGCGAAGAGAGCGAGAACGCGCCGAGAGCGCGTGGCTCCCATCATTTAGACTGGAACTTCGAGGTGGAGTCACCTGGCGTGCCTCACCCGAGCGCTAAAGTCTTAAAGAAAAAGAAAGAATCCCCTTCTCTGGTGAGCTTCGCCGCCCTCGCCCCCCTTGGTGATGGAGTGCACGCATCAGATTTTCATCAAAGTTCTATTAAGTGAAACATAGGTTGCAGGGCACCCTTTGATTGAAACAGTTTAAATTTTAATTGTGTTTTTAATTTGACATATAGTTGCAGAAAGGAATGACACTGCGTCGCCAAGGGGCGGTCGATTTTCTTAATTTCTCCCAGAGGAATTGATGAGTCTATCAGGCCACTAGATTGGAAACCCATTAAAGCTCTCTGGTTAGGCTGTTAATTGGAACTTGATGGATGTGGGGAGGGGGGTGTTGGGACTCGGCTATGCTGATCCAATCTTCATGACTTTCTGTTTTCCAATAAATTACACAATTCATTTTCCAGCCGCAGATTACATAAATTGTACACCTCTGGGGCTCTCTTTTTCAAATAAGGAGCCCTTTTCCCCAAAAGCCTATTGCAAGATGTCATTTGCACCAAAGAACTAACAGCAGAGGCCCTTGAATGAAAATCGAAACATAATCAACGTTTATACTTAGAAAATTTATTGAGATCATTTTCTCTGGTATTTCCTTATTTTAAAGTTTCGACGCGCCATATATCATAATCCACTCGCACAAAGGGGGGGGGCAGACTGTGTTTAATATTTATCGAAGCTTGATTCCAAGATCAAACTTGTTTATGACTTCATCTGTCATTTCGGAGGGAGCCTTCTTCCACTATTACCCGGCTCAGCCAGCCTATTTCCCGACTGCCGCAGAGCAGAGAGGATCAATTTTTATTAGGCTTCTCGGCAAGTTTGCTCTGGGCCGCTTTAATATTGAGCAGCAGCATAATCTCGAGACCTAAACTTTAAGCGTCCTTTCAGTCTCGGAAAGTTTATCATTCCTTGGAACTCGGTTATGCCTAATTCCCAGGAAACAGGAAGGGGAGGGGAGAGCGATCCCAAGGATGACGAGGGGCCTGAGGGGCCTGACTGTTAATCTGGTTGAACTAAGGAGGGGCGGAGCTACCCCAAAACTAGGAGGGTGGGGCGGGAGGTGGGACCGAGTGGAAGGATTACCACGCTCGAGGGCAGAGAGACGGGGTGTCTGTGGGTGGTGGTTCCTGAAGTTGAAGTTTCCTGGCCGTGTGGTTTGCAGCTGCGCTCAGCCCAGGAGAGGGCGTCTGGGTCTCTGCCTTCGCCATTAAGTCTTGGGGACACCCCCCCCCCCGAAATGCCAAGAGAGGGCGGGGAGATCCTGTCCTGGGCCTCTGGCCCCTTTAGTGGGACTGCTGTCCGTAACCGAGGGACAGCGGGAGACCCCGCCCGTGACCAGTTGAAAGGAGAGGAGGCGTGGAGGACCCGTTTGCCCGGTCTCCCCCCACAGCCTCTCCGCTGCAGCCTTCCCGCCTTCGGCCTGCGCCACCACCACCATCATTTCCCGGGCTCGGGGCAGTGTGTCTGACGCTGTAGCGCACGTTTGCGGACGAATGCTTGCCACGGCGGAAGCGTTATGCCGACACGAGCCTGAGGTTTACGGTGTTCGCGTCAGAAGAGGTGCCTGGGCGGAGGAGGAGGCTGCGCAGGAGCGCGCGCCCGTGTAGACCAGACCGTCGAAGCGATCGCGAGGAGCATAGCGAGCAGGCGGAGAACTCGGCCAGGAGGCTCCTTCTGGCTTCCCTCCCAAATTAGCCCGCGGAAGCGGGTGGTGGTGGCGGCTGGGGGTCGCGAGGCTGCACGGTTTCCTGAGTCCTCAAACGAGGCTGCACGCCCGCCCCCGACTCCCCGAAGCTCGCCGGGTCTGAGAGTTGCTTCTCCGAGGCTCATCCCAGAGGCACCGCCGCTGCCACACCTGGCCACTGCCTTGGCAGAGGCCAGCTCCACCCAAACACCCGTCCGGGCGGGCTTGAGATAGCCGGGGTCCTCACAGTCTACCCCGCAGCCACTCCCAAGCTCAGCATCAATGCTTGCCCCCGCCCCTCGCCCCTTCCCCAGGGCCGAGTACAGGCAGTGGGACAACCTCGGGCTTCCATCTTGCTTACTCTACTTGGGCTGGTCACTTTTTTTTCTCCTGGGCCTCAGTTTCCCCGCCTGTACACTGGGGCTAAGGATCGGCACCACAGGTTTGCTCTGAGGATTCAAGTGAAGAATGACCAGATGTGCTCTGGATAGTCCAGGTTGCCGGCGTCGAGTATTTGTTAGCTCAAAAGGGTTCAACGAAAGCCCTCCTTCTGCCCCAAAGGATGTTTCTTCCCCAGGCTCCCGCTCGCCGCGTCGGCCTGTTTCCCGCGGGGTGGGCGCAGCCCGGCCGGGAGACCCGCGCGGAGAGGTCGCAGGCTGGTGCGAGTCGGCTGTTGGTTTCTAGGATGCTCCCTTCTACCCCGCAACCGTGCGGGGGCGCGCGGGCCGGGCTGTGACGTGGCCCGGGAGCTCGCGCCGCGGCCGCGCAGAGGAGGACGCGCAAATTGTATTTCAGCACCGGGTCCTTCCGGGTTAATGAGCTGACACCATGATTAAAGCTGACCATTTGTAATGTGTCTCGACCCCGCCGCCGAGCCCTGAAGAGGTTAATGCGGTGACGGAGGCCGGCACCTGCCCCTCGCCGGCCTCCCTCCCGGGCCGTGGCGCACAGCCTCCGGCCCCCGCCCCCTCGCCTGCCCCTGCCCCCGCTGCGCCGCCGACTCCTAATCAATTAGCCCATTAACGAGCCCTTGGAGGAGTTAAGTAGGAAGAGGTTCTGCCACGGGTAGGGCTGCAGTCGGTAACTCACCGCGGCTAATGATATTATAAGCGTTTTCCTCAATAACCCGGGCGCGGCGCGGGCGAGGAGGGAACTGCACCGTCTTGGGGGCAGCGTCTGGACATTTGTGGGGAGAGTCTCCCCTCTCCCTTGGCTGAATTTGGGGGGGGGGCACCGTAGGGTCAGGGCTCCTGGGATCATTTGGCCGAGCCGTACCGGAGGCTGCAGACCCGGGGCTGAGGTCGCCTGAGCGCCTTGGAGTCTTGCCTCACCTTGGGTTCCTCGAGGCTTGTGTAGACAACTATGCCCCCGAAACGTTTTGCCTGCGTCGCGTGGGTTCCGCATCTGGTACCAGTTGATCTGGGAATTAAAAGAGCAGGAGTCAGGGCTTTGAGGGGGGCGTGCAAACACCTTAGGGAACTATGGGTAACTGAGCGCCTACCGCAAGTTGTGCTCAGAATTAGCACTTTGACCTCATTTAGCTTCTTCGAGGCGATCGTCGCTTTCCCCTAATTTAAAAAATGAGAAAACCAAGGCTCAGAAAGTTTAAGAATCCTGTTCAAGGTCACCTCCCCATTTGAATACCCTTTGCCTAATCCTAAAACTATGGTTCTTACCTCTTTCTCCCCTTTCCTGGAGCAAATCGCTATTTTTGTAGCAATTCCCAGACCTCCAATATTTACCTAAAAACGAGAGTCAGGGAAGACAAGGCCGAGCTTTGGGCTGTTTACAGAGTTTTACAGGGTACCTTTCATTCTTACCTATGCCATTCTTAAAACAGGTGAAGGGAAGGGGATATTAATGGGTGCGTATCACCTATGAAGCCAGTGAGGCTCTGATTGGGACTTGACTTGTCCAAGTTCACCTAGCGTGTAAATGGTGGTGCTGGGACTTGAACCTGGATCTCCCGAAACAAGATCTAGGGCCTCCCCACCCCCCATAACTATCATGCAGTCCTGCTGGGCCTGTGACAAGGTTGGGGTCTGTAGGGAGGAAGGGCCAAAGTTGTCTGCTCCCAGGCCTCCTAGTTAAGCTGCTAGGAAGAGCATCAGTTCCCATGTGCACGCTCCTAAATCCCACGACCCTCAGCCTTCCCCGCGGGGCGCAGAGGCCTGCCAGCCCTACCTGCCTGCCCAGCAGAGAAGGGATGAGGGTCATGGGGAGATGGGGAGGGTCATGGCGCAGCCTGTGAGCCCCTTTGAGGGTGTGAGGACCTGTCGCCTAAAGGAGGCGTGGGGCCACTCCTGTTCTGAGCCCCGGGCTGCCCTTGTCTCTCTAGAGGGCCGGGGTCTGAGCCATCAGAGATGCCACAGAGGCTAGGAACCTGGCTGTCATCCATCCTGCTTTCGGTCCAGGCTAGTTGGACACAGCAGATGCCCGCTGGACTCTTCGAGAGCTCGGGGGAGGACAGGGGCTGTGATAGCCGGGCCTGTGCTTTTTGAAATTTTCCGGGGCCGCTCGGCGGCGCTGCGATTGGCCGCGTCCGAGTAACCTCTATGCAAATGAGGCCGCGCCACCTCCGCGCCGCCGGGGACCCGGCGAGCTGGCGGGCAAGGAAGGGGCATTCGCGCCGGGGCTGGGCGGGTGCACCTGAAGCCGGGCGGGCAGGGACCCCAGCGCAGCTGTCGGGTGCCTGCGTTTCCCCAGCGCAGAGGGGACTCCTCGCCAGCTTCGCCGCCCCCTCCCCCAGCTCCCCTCCCCGTCCCCCCCCCCCCCACCCCGCCTGCCTGCCTGCCTGCCTGCCTGCACCACCTTCCACCCAGATCATCTCTAAAGGGAGTTCTTGGTTTCCTCCGATTTCTTATGAACCCAGGATGGGCAGCAAGGAAGATGCGGGCAAGGGGTGTCCGGCGGCCGGCGGCGTATCCAGCTTCACCATTCAGTCCATCCTGGGCGGGGGCCCCTCGGAGGCGCCGAGGGAGCCGGCCGCCTGGCCGGCCAGGAAGCGCAGCCTGTCCGTGTCCTCGGAGGAGGAGGAGCCGGACGACGGCTGGAAGGCACCCGCCTGCTTCTGCCCAGACCCGCACGGCCCCAAGGAGCCCGGCTCCAAGCACCACCCCCCTATCCCCTTTCCTTGCCTGGGTAAGGATCGCAAGCCGCCGGGTTGGCCTGGAGCAAGCTCTAGGGGAGGGAAACTGTGCCGGGGCTCTCGCGTCGGATCCCCCCGCCCCCGGCCAGAGACGCGGCGGCGCGGGGTCCGGGGCCGAGGGTGGGGACGGGGAGAGGCGCGCTTCTCGCTGACTCCTCCGCCCCGCGGGCGCTCGGAAAGAAACCCGGAACACGGATGCCGGGCGGCGCGGTTTGGGGGAAGGTTGGTTTGAAGGGAGTGTGTTTGTGGGTTTGGCACAGGGCCGGCCGCTCTCAAGGCTCTGCCCGCAATATCCCCTTTGCACATCGGATACTTTCTGCACACGAGGTCTGGAACTCGGATCTGAGCGGTCCGTCCGTCCTTCTCTACCGCAGTCTCCTTCTGCGTCCTTTTCTTCTCTCTCTTCCCCTCTCTCGACCTTTGCCTCTCTTTCTCCCCTCCTCCTCCTCGGAATGATTAGCACTCCAAGATGATTGACAATGGTGCCTTTCAGAGATGGTTCCTCTTTACAACATCTGACCAAGGGGAGCCCCGTGTCAGTCCTCAGCGTGATTTCCGAACAAACGGCCTGTGAAACGATGCCACCCTATAAAGATCAGGGAACTCTTCCAGCTCAGTTACTACAAGGCAAAATCATCTTTTACAAAGATGCTAATGTTCCCCCTCCAGACTTCCTCCCCTGTTGCTACAGGTCCTTTCAGGAAGCTGGGAGCACAGAGACCCCAGGCTCCAAGTAGCTGGGTCCCTCTCCTGTTGCTTTTCAAAAGCCGGGTGCCGCTTTCTGGGTTTCAGGGAGAGGGCGAGAAGAGTAGGGGCTGAGATCCAGGAAGATGGGAACCAAGGCTGCAGGCGCCAGCCAAGCCCCTGGTCCTAGCAGGAGCTGGGGGTCCCTGAGGCCCCCCAACTCCATGGCCCTCCTGTCTGTTCTCACTCCCCAGGTACCCCCAAGGGCAGCGGAGGCGCGGGGCCGGTGAGCTCGGAGCGCAAGCCTTTCCTTTCTTCTTCGCACCCGGACTTTAAGGAAGAGAAAGACAGGCTCTTGCCAGTGGGTTCACCGTCGCCGGGGCCCGAGCGGCCGCGGGACAGCGGCGGCGCCGAGCGGCAGGCGGGCGCGGCCAAGAAGAAGACGCGCACGGTCTTCTCGCGCAGCCAGGTGTACCAGCTCGAATCCACCTTCGACATGAAGCGCTACCTGAGCAGCTCGGAGCGCGCCTGCCTCGCCTCCAGCCTGCAGCTCACCGAGACCCAGGTCAAGACTTGGTTCCAGAACCGCCGCAACAAGTGGAAGCGGCAGCTCTCTGCCGAACTGGAGGCGGCCAACATGGCGCACGCGTCGGCGCAGACTCTGGTGGGCATGCCGCTGGTGTTCCGGGACAGCTCGCTGCTGCGCGTGCCGGTGCCGCGCTCGCTCGCCTTCCCCGCGCCGCTCTACTACCCGGGCAGCAACCTCTCGGCCTTACCTCTCTACAACCTCTACAACAAGCTCGACTACTGATAGCGGCCCGCCGGCCCCGCGCCGCGCGCCCTCCCGTCCGCTCCCCGCCAGGCTGGCGCGGGCTGCCCCCACCCCCCACTCCGGAGCAGGCGGCGCGTTTCCAGAAATATTACAAAATACACCATGTGTATTCATTATCTCTTATTTATGGCTTCTGCCCTACTTTGATTGTTTCTGGTATTTATCGGCATCCCTCCAGCCAGATCATTTGCTCTCTACCCGCCCCCCCAAACAAACCAATACATTTTGAAAACCATTTTGGAGGCGACGTTCTAGGGTGGTGGTGGGGCAGGGAGTTTCGGTCAGATCGACACTGGCCGGTAGGACCAAAAAAAAAAAAAAAATCAGGAAAAAACCCCCACCAAACCAGATACATTCTTCTCCCCGTATATATACCTGTATATATGTACACGCCCACACGGCCGGCCAAGCCAGTCCTTGGGGGCTTTGAACAATGATCTCAACGCCTCTTTCCATTTCCCTTGTCCCGAGAATAGATAGGGGCGAGAGGGGGATAAATTTCAGATCTGTAAATATTTTTAAAAAGAAAAAATAAAACATTTTAAGCATCGTTGCTAACTTTGGTGCAATTGATTGGCCAGCGTGCTAACGCGCAGGTTTTTGCTGCTTTTCCACGGACAGTGCAGGAGTGCGTCAGAGGAGGTCTGGCTCTCCCCACTTGGAATGTGGGGCGGAGGTCAGAGGTTAAAGGTCGGGCGCCGTCGAGATGGCATGTGGGTTGGAGGCGCACCCCATTCCACTAGCCTGTGCAGAGACTCAGCCCGGCAGGGATCCAGCTCACGGGGCGCCGAGAGGGATAGATGCGGGACTGCAGTTGCCAAAGCAGTTGCCTCCTGGAACGAGCTTCTTTCTAGTTCTGGGAGCGGCTTGGGGTTGGCGGCAGCACGGGGCCGTGGACGTGGTCCAGTAAGTGACAGGGGCCTCCTCTCCGAGGGCACAGGGCAGGTGGGGCGGCCCTGCCCGGATCAGGTGTCCAGCCCGGTTTCCTCGTTCCCCCAACCTGGCGCGACAAGACTTACAGCCGCTCGCAGTTCCCAAGCCGGTGGCAGGGTTGCGCGTCCGGCGCGGCGCAGGAACAGGGCACAGACAGGCGGCCCTTCGGCCGAGGAGGGATGAAGCCCGAGACCGGGCAAAGAAAGCTCAGAAGGCAAAGGCTCCTCCCCACACTTTTTGTTGTTGTTCGTGGTTTTGCATGGAGCGTGGCTAAGTGGCCCGGTGTCGGGCAGGCACGTGGCAGCTGGCACTGAATGGAACCTTGAAGCGCTGTCTACGCGCCCACGGACTTCAGCGCCCCAACACCTGCCGCCGCACCCTGGCTTGGGAGGGCGCGGCATCAAGAGGACAGAGGCGCGCGAGTGTCATGCAAATCGCAGGCTTGCAGTGTGAGACCGCAGCCACCTGTTCCTTGTAAAATGTCGGAAAAAAAAAAAATAGCCTGAGCTTTCAGGAGGCTGACGGTTCAGTGTCACGTGAGGCGAGCTCCCGGGTTCTCCGGCCCGAGCTACTCCTTAGCCGCTGCTAAGGTGCTGGGAGTCAGCAGCGCGGAGGCCTGATCTCATCCTCTAGAAGGAAAACCTCGGCTTGATGGACCGGTCTCTTGGAGTCAAGAGACATGGAAATTATCTGCAGTTTGTGAAAGTATGCAGGATATCTGTAATCCGTCTATGTGATCCACAGTATCATGTCTAAAATACCTGAAGCTTTATTCATATTTGAGGTTTCTATTTTTTTCTTCTCACGTTAAATTTCATGAAATTTACAATCTATTTCAAGATGACACCTGAAGGATGCTACCCAAGAACCCATGTGCCGAAGTTGTTAGGTCAATTGCATTTATTTCATTCCAGATGAGTTCAATAAATATTCACTGAATCCTAGTAAGTAGGGCTGGGAACTATGCTAGATATCAGCCAGTCAGAGAGAGAAAACTAACACTGCATCTTTCTTCTGATATTTTTGGTACACATATTTCAATGAAGTTCTCCCCTTCCAGATAGCCCGCTTTAAAATTTTCTTTTCCTCTCAAGTTGCTCTTTGAATATTCTATGCAAAATTAAGGCAAATTGCCTTCAAGGAACTACTTGTAAAGAAATATTTCATCCATATCATTTTGGTCGGCACTTCCATAGATTGTTTTTTAAAAAGAGATCATGGTTTTAACAGCATTAGATCACTATATCTTTCTTGGGTTTACTTCTTTTATAGGAAGTGGTTTTGTGTAGACAGTTAATGGCAAAGTAGTTTTTGCCCTTAGGATTTTAGGGATGATCCATTTTGTTTCTCATATAGTGGGAACTTCACTTTTTTACTAATCCAGAAATTAGGAGTCAAAGGTGATCCAACAGTGTGATTAGTTTCTAGGAATTCCTCTTTCTTATAGGTAACTAAGTACACACACACACACTCTCACACACGCACACACAGCTTTGCATTTGGATTTAAGATGTTGTTCAAGACTCCATTGTGGCCAGATTTCCGATCTCAAGACTATCAATTCATTTGAATAATCAGCAAAATCATCAGCCTCCTTTCAGCCTCTAAACTGGATTTAAAAGATTGACGATTCTTAAAACTCAAATCGAGTCCGGCTGCAACTGCCTGTCCAGAGGGACCTGAATCATACACACACTGGATAATGAAATACACTTAGATTTTATTAGTGGATAATTCATGCTCAGAATCTTGAGCACTAGTAGAATTAAATAAACAACTGGGAGAGGGAACCAAATAAAATTATTTGGAGATAAAATTATTTAGCCAAAATTAGAATGGAGGTAAGGCACTGCACTTTAAAATTCTTAACCTAGCCATCAAGTTGTTGAAAGAGGAGAGAGAGAAAACCAAGTATAAGGACTAGTGAGGATGCTGGGAAAGACTGAAGGCGGGAGGAGAAGGGGATTTCAGAGGATAAGATGGTTGGATGGCATCACCAACTCAATGAACATGAGTTTGAGCAAGCTCTGGGAGTTGGTGATGGACAGGGAAGCCTGTCCTGCTGCAGTCCATGGGGTTGCAAAGAGTTGGACACGATTTGAGCAGCTGAACTGAGGGGAAGAATCTGTACTTTTGGCAGGAACATCATCAATACACTGGGCAGAAGAGTGGTGGTTATATGTTTACTGTATCACGATTCATAAAAAGAAGTGCACCTGAGTCAGTGTATATGAATGCATAAGGACCAACAGCACCTTTTCTCTGTTGCCTTAGAAATTAAACACTTTAACCTCAACAATTTTCTCCCACTTCATACAAGATTGTATAATAAAGTAAGATTTTTTTCCCCCACAACACAAAAGGCAGTGAAAAAGATGGTATAGCATGGATTAAATTGAAAAAATTTAGCATGCTTTTGATACTCAATATTAGCTGAGTCACAGCATTCTAGTTATTAAGTATTGCTTTTCTTTCATGGACATCAAAGTGTTTCTTATTACAGAAGCAACCTTCTTGATTCTCCTATTTCTGGAGGATTCTAGAAACAGAAAATAGAGCAAACAGAGCCTGTAAGTCTAGGGTGTTGTTGGGGTGTGAGAGAGTGGAATAGAGAGAAGCTTGTAGCTGTCATTTTAAGGTCCTACTTGGACATATGTCTGTAAGAGGCTTTTGAGCTTTAACACACTTAAGAGTAATTATCTGTTTCCCAGTCTGTCCAACCTTCTGGAAAAAGTTCCTCCAGAGCAAGAACTGATCCGATTAATGCTCTTCCTCAGCCTTCTCACTAGGCCTGGCACGAACTGGGTGCTCAATAAATGTCTGCAGAAAGATGGAATGAAGAGATAAAGCAGAGTATAAATAAGGATGAGTTTCTCTTAAGTCAGAAGATCTTCGACAAAAGGAAATGTGAGCGCCTGCCTCATAGGTGGAAAGTCCAGGAAAATGAGAAAAAAGTGGGGCAAAACATTCGTTAGAGCAAATCTTTTCTTCTCCACTCTAATTCTGGTTAACTTTCCCGGATATGCACGTCCAGTAGAAGGGAGACTAATTCAGTCCTATTAAAAATACAGACCAAAATGGGGTTCTTGTGTCCGAGACACGGGGAGGGCTCCAAGAGTCAAATGGAAAGAGCATTTCCCCGCCTACTATTTAGAGGACAGGACAAGCGTTGGCCACAGGACTACATTTCCCAGCATGCCCCATAAGAACAGGAGCGGGCGTGAGCTCCGCCTTGGCGCGATGCTCTTTGGGAGTTGTAGTTTTCACGCGTCCAGCACCGGCGGGGCCCCAGAGCCGGGTGGCGGAAAGCAGTCACGTGATCGGAAAGGCTGCCGTTTGCCTTTGTGCCGGAACAGGTTGACTGGGTCGCCCGAGCCCAGGGCCTCGGGACGGACCAATCGACTGCCTTAGAAGGAGACGTTGGCGTTTGAAATCAGCCAATGACAGTCTTTGTCTGGAGCTTTGTCTCCGCCTACTTCGCCCGACGCGCGAGAGCGGCGAGGGAAGCGAGGCGGCGGCGACTGGTGGCGGGCGCGGCGGCTGAGTTGCTTCTGGAGGGACCCCCGAGGTAGCTGGGCGAGGCGGCCGGGCGCAGGCACGGGCTTTCCGGGGATGCCCCCGGGGTTCCCGAGCCGGCGGAGCAGTCCGCTGGGAACCGGGTTTACTTCCACGGCTTTTCCATTTTATTTTAGGAGCACACGGGGCGGTAGGCCCCGGGGGCGGGGGCGGGGAGAGGCGGCGTGCAGAAGCCCGCGGCTGGGGAGAGTGTGGATCTGGCGGGCGAGGCTGGAGTCAGGGGTATGGCGGCGCGGGCCCGGCCGGTAGGGAAGGAGGAACGTCGGGGAAGGGGGCGATGAGGCCCGACCGGCGAGGGCGCGGCGGCCCCGCGCAGGCGCAGAGGCCGCGTCGCCGGCCTTTCCCTCGGTCCCGCCCCGCAGGGACACCCCCTACCCTCTCGCCGGCCCTTCTGCGAGTCGAGCCCCGCGACCCCGGCCCCTTGAGGGACCCTCCCCCAACCCCACCTGCTGCCTGGCCCTTCTGCGAGTCGAGCCCCGCGACCCCGGCCCCTTGGGGAGACTCTCACCAGGCGCTTGTTCCTTAGATGACCGGGTCTAACGAGTTCAAGCTGAACCAGCCCCCCGAGGATGGCATCTCCTCTGTGAAGTTCAGCCCCAACACGTCGCAGTTCCTGCTGGTCTCCTCTTGGGACACGTCCGTGCGCCTCTACGATGTGCCGGCCAACTCCATGCGGCTCAAGTACCAGCACACCGGCGCGGTCCTGGACTGCGCCTTCTACGTAGGTGTTCTCCGTCTCCGCTCCTGCATCCTTCTGAGTTTTCTGGTGTCCCTCGTGATCAAAGTCCCTTTGCAGTGTTGGGAGAAGGCTCCGGTCGGTAGAGTTATTTGGACAGCGCCCCTCTTTCCCCTCCTCCCCCACCTCCACCCCAACACTTACCTTGAGGTTCCGGTGCTGCTTTGTTTTGCTTTTTTTGCTTTTTGGCCCTGGGGACTTGACAGACGTCAGGAACTGGGTCTTCCCTTAAGCTTCTGATGGAGTTAACACTGTGAACTTTTCTGGACAGAATGTACTTGAAACTCAGGGCAAGACTGTAAAATTTGGCCGTCTTGTTAAAAGGTTTGTTTGCTAGTAAATGGGAATACGTATTGGCTCTCAGCCAGCGTGGTGAACAATTCTTCCTTAATTTGCTTGCTTAGTAGTTTGGTTGACTACTTAGTTTGCTCAGTTTTTTTGTACGGTTTTTGTTCGTTTACAATGAGTGAGCCCAGTGTACTTCATTCTGAGCATAAACTGAGGAGTTGGCTGGTAGATAGAGGAATTTTTCAACACTTTTTTTTCCATTTAAAAATTATTAAACCCAAGAGAGTCAACGTTACAAGTAATAGAAGGATGCAATTTAAAACCACAGTTAGATACTATTTAGTCCTAAACTCATTGCAATATAAGAAATTATAAGTAATGCTGAGCAGGATGTGGTAAGGCAAGTGCTTTATATGGATGGAAAAGTAAATGGAGAGGCTGTTTCTAGAATGGAATTCGCCAGGAAGAAGCAAGAATCTTATTAATGTCCATACCCTGCTGCTGGTACTAATGTCCATACCCTAGTTTTCCTTAATCTTACTCCTAGAAAACTCTACTAAAAATGCTTATCATGTAGTTGTTTGTTGAAATAAAAATGTGAGGAAAATTGTTTGACAGTGAGGACATAGAAAAATTGGAAGTTTAACTATAGTATGGATTATTATGAAATCACTACTGATAATATTTCTGTGCATTAATTGATGACATGGACTATATTTCTGAAACTAAAAAGTATCCAGAGTTAGATTTCAAATTTTATTTTTAAATTATATCTATTTTTATAAGAAAAAGATTACAAGAGAGATGGTAAAGTGTTAGCAGTAGTTATCTCTAGGTGATTGGGCCACAGGAAACATTTTCCTTCTTAGTATTTTCCAGATTCCATAACCTGTTACATGTGCATGCTCAGTCGTGTCCAACTCTTTGCTACTCATGGACTGCCAGCTCTCCAGATTTCTTTGTCCTTGGAATTTTCCAGGCAAGAATACTGGAGTGGGTTGCCATTTCCTACTCCAAGGTTAAATACTTTTTAAAGCTCTGTAAGTTTTAAATGATTTGAAACTTGTATTTTGTAGGATCCAACACATGCCTGGAGCGGAGGATTAGACCATCAATTGAAAATGCATGATTTGAACACCGATCAAGGTAACATAGCCACATTTTTACCGCATTTTGCTGGTAAAATGTGCTTACTTACAAATGTTTATTTAAGAAGAGTAGTTCCTGAATTGTTTAGATAAAAGTAAAAGTGGCTTGAATTTAGGACGTTTTTGTTTAAATGATAACCATTAAGTTAGAATCACAAAATATCATGTATGTATTTTAACAGTGTAACTCTTTGTGAACTCCATCCACAGTGTTTGCATGAAGTGGCACTTACCTGTTTGACCTTTACCCTGCCCCCAGAAGGGGACTGGATCCTGCAGTGTTCTCCCTTGCAGTAGAATTTTTCCAGGATAGTGCTGATGTTTCAGAGTTCTCTTTTCAGAAACTAGTATAGTTCAGACTGAAGAAAGGCAGGGTTTTAAAAATCTAGCATTATAAAATAACCAGTTCTGTCCAGGTACCATAGTAACCCTGCTTGTATAATTGTTTAGCATAGAACATTCTTCACTTGCATTTATTGAATGGAAGACAAGGTAACACGTTTTCTTTTGAAGGTTTTTTGTTTATGTTGTATATGCATGTGTTAGACATAGATGTACCTGAAGAACATAGCAAGGCACAGAGATACGACTCAATGAGGATGAGTTGGACAGTGAGAGAATGGATGGAGGATGGGCGCTGTATTTTATCCAGAAAGAAAAGAAGGATCCAATCAGAAGAGGCTTTTATGTGAAAGCTGTTTTGTCATGTAACTCACAACTGTGGATGTTTGGTTTTGTTTGCTAGCGGTTTTTTCTACGTAGGAAGTTAGCTTGCAGGTTTAGGTTCTATTTGTTTGAAAACCCAAGAAAACACCGAAAAGCAAACAAAGATTTTTGATGCTGGAGACCATAATTAAGGAAATTAGCTGCTTATTCTCAGGAGGTCTTTGCTGAACTTTATGAGATACTTTTTCTTGTTTAAATGGAGTGTTTTTAAACAGGTAGTTTTCCTCTTGAGGATCAAAACCACATACTCTTTGTATTTGTTGTTAACCTTAGCATGTGGTATAGATTCTGGCACATAGTAGACAGTTAGTAGATGTTAGTTGAATGAATGAATGAGATAATGTGAAAAGTTGAAAGGGAAGAAATTGTGTATTAGAAATTTGATGAGCTTCCCTGGTGGTCTAGTGGCTAAGACACTATGCTCCTAATGCATGGGGCCTGTGTTCAATACCTGGTCAGGAAACTAGATCTCACATGCCACAACTAAGAGTTCGAATGCCACAACTAAGACCTGGCATAGCCAAATAAATATTAAAAAAGAAAGAAATATAACAGCCATGAAAACCAAGTGGTTATTAATCGTGAGCCTCCCTGCCTTCCTCATCCTTCGCTTTCAGATAATCCTGTTGCCACTTAAATCAGTTTGTTTGAAACATCAGCTTAATGTGATAAGTTTTATACAGATCCCTTGAACCAGAGTTCTCCACTCAAGTGTTCATTCAACAGGTATATCTTGAACACTTACCATGTATTAGAACATGAACTAGATACTGTCAGAACTATATGAGTTGAAACAAGGTTCCTGATTTGAAGGAATCTAGAATCAAGTGAGGAAAATAACTGATACGCTATCATTTTAATGTAGTCTGAAACTCAAGGTAGCTTTTAGTATTACTGTGCCGGTGAATAAAGCTATGCACCGTAAGATGGACAGGGGTGAATGGATGACTTTGTAGTCCTGGAGAAGTTTTTCTGTGTGTAGATACTTCTGTTGAGTGGGTGGAAGTGGATTCATTACAGTAGAATCAATGTTTCCTTTTATTGTTCACCTGAGGAATCTTTAGTAAAGCTAGGTGTTGGTTGTTGGTTTATTTTTTTTCCTACAGAAAATCTTGTTGGAACTCATGATGCCCCTATCAGATGTGTTGAATACTGTCCCGAAGTGAACGTGATGGTTACTGGAAGCTGGGATCAGACGGTTAAATTGTGGGATCCCAGAACCCCTTGTAATGCTGGGACCTTCTCTCAGCCTGAAAAGGTAGGCTTTTTATGTTCATGACAAGAATTCTGGTTCTTGGGGTGATTTGACTTGATAAATGATGAAGATGTTGAATTTAGAGGTTAAGAGTTGATGAGTCTATTTTATAAACCTAACTAGATATGTAAAGGAAAACTAATCTTCATAATTTGGTCAGCTTTTTCCTGACAGTTGTCATATTTGTACTGGATAGCACTAGTGGTAAACCCATTTCCATGTATTGTAATGCTTTAGATCCTAGGGCTGAGAAGCAACTTTTCAGAGGTCATTTAGCAAAGACTGAAGTTGAATTTGACTTACCCAAGCAGGAAGTGGGATGGAGCACCACTCATTTTCACTTATGGCCTGACCTTTCTCTTTAGTTGACTGTGAGAGGGTGAAATGGGTTCTCATTTAAAGTTTAGTGAAAAAGATGTCCTTTATTCCCTGGCTTTTATAATTTATTTTTAATACTGACAGATGTAGTTGAAGGAGGTAGTGAAGGAAGCTTCTTAAAATTGAAATGTTGTGTATTATTCTAACCTTTTGATCTGTACAATGAAAGTGTAATTGAGCATTCTTGCTGTATCCTCATCAGACTTTATCAGGTGGTAGTTAATTTTAAAGATTGATTGTTTTAGCAGTTTAAAGGTATCCTTCACTTGAGTCTATTTCCTCAGTGTAAATATACTATTCAGTTCCTGTTAGCTGTCGTTATATACTGTAGTGCATCCAAAGAGCCATTATTTTTGTCACATCACAGTCGAATCTACTCCTGGCAAGACCTTTGTTCAGAATAAAATAATTGCATTGTTTCTAGTTTTGATTTATGGTTGTATGTAACATGTTAAGAGCTGTGATAAATTGCTGACAGAATATCATATAATGGACAGCCACACTGAATCAAGCTGCTTATTGGTTCAGCAAGGTTCATTATGTCACTTTTTTTAATATGGTCTTTGATAAATGTATATACCTAGTCAGTAGCATGACAGTGTTTTTACTTGATTTACGATCAGTGGGGATAGAAAGCACTGTTAGAAGCTTGTGTGTCACCTGGATAGTAAAGATTTAAGATAAAAGTCCCATTCTGATTGTACTGTTATAAATTGATCTTTTTCTGGATTTTTTGTTTTTTTTGAATTCGGTGTTTCGTGTGTCTTACGCTAATTGCTGTTTTTCTGCAAATGTTTTTTGAATAAACGGCACTAAGTGTTATTCTATCTCTTATTGTCTGTGTTTTTCCCTTGGTCAAGTTAGTTGTTGAATTTTAAGGTTAGATTGTGTAGAAATTATCAGGTTATTGTGTTCTTAAATCCAATCCCCCCACCTCCGCCCACCACCCTCCCGGGGAGGGGAAGGGGCATGCAACTAACCATAAGCTTTAATTACTGAATGTTAAGGAGATGTCTTACCATGTAATGAGGCCTCTTCATTTTTTATAGTGATTCTTCAGGTTTTAAAATATTAAATTAGATTAAATTAGTTGCTTATTAATTGAAAGTGATGATCAGAGCACAGTTATATACCTGAAGTCTAGATTTTTAAAAAAATGATTTAACATGATCATGAAAATACTATTTTCATGAATTTGCTATCTCTAGTTGGTCTCTAGATAATGTATTTGAAAGTAAGTCACCTTAAAACCTTATTTGCAGGAAATTTTGTTATTTATTTTACTATTGAAGAAAAGGAATTTTGAGGGGGAAAAAAAACCAGGTGCTTTTAGGGGAGAAATGCTTTTAAAATTTTCCGTAAACATAACTCTGTCTTAAGTGTTTAGTGTGACGTCAAGGCGTGAAAATTTACTTTGTCATATGCCAGACCACTGACCTTATCTTTTAATTTTCAGTTCGTATGCCACCAAAAGCAAGTAAGCAGGTTAACTCTCTGACTCTTCCTGGAAAAGGCCTATTTATTAAGTGTGACAGGTGGTAAAATCAGAGAGTTACAACATGAAATGTCTGTCCAAAAGGTGGTCATAGAAAAATAACTTTAAAAATGATTGTCTTATGAAAAGCCAGAAGCCCAGTGAAAGGTATCCTGAGTTGTTTTTATAATTTTATTGCTATTGTCTCCTTTTTTAGTATCTTTTACACTGTATTATGACCAAATGAAATAAGAGAGCTATAAAATTATTTAATAATTTAGTTTAGTAAGAAAGAGAATCGTCTTCAGAGATACTTTTGCAGAGTTAATTAGAATGTGCATTATTATGATATGGTTAAGTATTAAGGATATCCTGCGTGTATTATTTTGTGCCAGTTACTTGGTTTGTGTAACTGAAGTATTTAAAATTTTGGTACCTGTGTTTGTGAATCTGTCAGCTAACTTTTTTTAAAATGGTTTTATAATCCGTGGACTTTATTTTGGAGCAGAGTGCCATTTGCAGGCATGTAGGTGATTTTTAGCACGTTTCGGTCTTTCTTGAAAGGTGTACACCCTGTCGGTGTCGGGAGACCGGCTGATCGTGGGCACTGCAGGCCGCAGGGTGCTGGTGTGGGACCTGCGGAACATGGGCTACGTGCAGCAGCGCCGCGAGTCCAGCCTCAAGTACCAGACGCGCTGCATCCGCGCGTTCCCCAACAAGCAGGTACTGGCCTTGCCTCCCCCGCCCGCTGTGGGAGCTTAAAGGTAGTAGAGTCCTTAATAATAAGGATTCGGGCACTGCGCTTTACGCGTTGCTTTCTTTTTTTTTTTTGAGTGGTGATTGGAATTTCTGTTAGGTGTATTTTTGACAGCCTTTTGTTAAAAAGTAATGTGTTAACTCAATTTTAGAGAAGGCTTTGATGTTCACAGAGGGTAAGTAATCTGCCAGTGGTTTTCTGATTCCTTGGTGCTCCTTCTCCAAGAAGCTTGACAGGTATACAGTAATCGAAGAGAGTTTTGTAGGTATTTTAATTTACAAACCAGCGAATTCAAACTTAAATCTGAAAATGTAGAGTTATGGAATTTGCTGTTTTCTTTTTTTCCTGTTTCTTCTTTTTTTTCCCTTTTGTACCCTAATACTAATAGAGCTTTTTAGTCAGTCTGAGAGCAGAACCTACATTTTTTTTTTTTAAAGGAATGCTTCTGAGGTTAGAGAGGAGCTGTGCCTCATATAATGACTAACTCTTGATGAACAGTGTGGGTCACCTTCCATCATCATTACTAGATTAGGTGACACTTTATTAGTGCGCCCCTACCCCTAGTCTTGAAAGTTCGAAGGGAAGTTGGTGGTGGGGTCATTTGCTCTGGGAATTTTATAAGAGGAGAGTCATTAAAAACAGCAGATATCTTTGGAATCTTACTTACAGCTGTCCTTTAGTGGTTGTGGAACTTGAAAGAATTAGGTCTGTTATTCTATTCTCTTAGCTCTTTATTTCAAAAGGCTAGTACAAATGGTGATCACAGTTCTTCTCAGGATATTGTAAATTTCCATTGGAATTGAAGTTATGAAAAACCTTAAATGCATGGTTAAAATATGCTTGCATTTATGAATATTGTGATGTCGTATATCCAAAATTTTCTGTCGGAGTTTATCTGTAGTTTATAATGGAAGCTTTTTAACTAAAAGTAACATTTTACTGATTCTTTTTTCGTTACAAGTGTTAATAGTTTTTTAGGAATAAATCTTTTTCATATCTTGATAAAGAAGTAAAGTATAGATTTCATATTATCTTCCTTTCTTATCTTCTCTGACATACAATTTCATGGCAGGGTGAGGAGAGGTTTGAAATTATAGAGCACTTTTGAACCTTGCTGAAAATCTGTGGTGTTTGGGTATAAACTTGACTTGCTGTAGTTAAATGCAAGAGGCAGGATGATAGAGATGAAAGGCTGGTTTACCAATTGGTCTGGATTATTGATACACCCTCAGTGAAGAAGATACAGTTCTTCTTAGAGTTGTTAGAAGTGAGGAGGCATCAAGCCAAAAAAAAATATTCCAGGTGATGGAATGAATTTGAGTCCCATTCTGGACAGGACAACAAATTATATTGAAATAATTTAAAAATTCCTGTTGAGGTTTGACAAAATACCTAGACATTTTTGATTGCAATGTGCAGAGTACTGGTAAAGAAAGTAAGTGATGGTGGCCTTTTTTGTTTTTTAATAGAACAGGTATAAGTGTTTTTAAACTTCTGGAGTGATCTTAACCATGTTAGTACTGCTTAAACATTTGTTTAAAACACAGCCATATTCTCTTTTCATTTTAAGAATAATTATCTTTCTTTAATATGGGTTGAATTTGGGAGTATATGCCTTGTTTTGGAATCTGGATTCACTAGTTTTGTCTTCTGATTCCCTCTTGTCAGGGTTATGTATTAAGTTCTATTGAAGGTCGAGTGGCAGTTGAGTACTTGGACCCAAGCCCCGAGGTACAGAAGAAGAAGTATGCCTTCAAGTGTCACAGACTAAAGGAAAACAATATTGAGCAGATTTACCCCGTCAACGCCATTTCCTTTCACAACATCCACAATACCTTTGCCACAGGTAGAGTATGGAATGCTCACTTCTATCTGCTTGTTAATATAATTTAGCTGTTAATTGAATGCTGAATATTTGTACTTAGGCAGGTTTTTTTTTTTTGGTCATTCTGTGTGGCATGTGGGATCCTAGTTCCCTGACCAAGGATTGAACCTGTGCTCCCTGCATTGGAAGCGTGGCATATTAGCCACTGGACCACCTGGGACATGGGCAAAGTTCTTAAAAATTGTGCTTGGTTTTTTATGATATTTAAAGGGGAAAAAAATTAGTATAATACTCCTTGGGGAAAATATAACTTCTGTGATCTTAAAAATTGTCAAGCTAATGGCTATTTTTGTATCTGCTTTTAAAAACTGTTTTGAAATCACTTGCAGGTGGTTCTGATGGATTTGTAAATATTTGGGATCCATTTAACAAAAAGCGACTGTGCCAGTTCCATCGGTACCCCACCAGCATCGCCTCACTTGCCTTCAGTAATGATGGGACCACGCTTGCAATAGCATCATCGTATATGTATGAAATGGATGACACGGAACATCCCGAAGATGGTATCTTCATTCGCCAAGTGACAGATGCAGAAACAAAACCCAAGTGAGTATGCTTCACCTGTATTTGAGCCTTTTCTTGCATTCAACCCAGGATTTATTAATTTTTCTAAATTCATGAATAGCATTGTTGATGCCTGCTCGATATTACAGCTGACTCTAGGGCTGAAGTTGATTTTATCTTGTTCTCCCAAGCTTTCAATATCCGTAGGTTGATAGACGTCTGATGGATAAAATTGTGCCTAGTTGTTTTGTAGAGAAGAATGTCAAACTCTCATTCTTCTTGAATAGGCACTATTATTTGAATCTCTGGAGTTATTACTAGCTCATTGCTTCAAAATTAAGTTGAGGAATTCAAGAATAATTTATTTTAGCAAATTCTATTTAAGATATTTAAGAATTTGAACTGCCAAAAATCTTTCCTCTCCACAGAGGTTGTTTCTGTAATATTTACACAGAATGAAATGACCTTCAGGTCTTACTGGAAATTCAGAGTAATATGGCCTTGCCTGGAAAGGTGGATTTCCTTAGTTTTGAAATTTCTGTAGATCTCTTTGGCTCTTGGGTGTAACTGTTGACAGGGAGGAACCATTTACATTTTCTTGGTACGTAGGGCAGAGCTTTTTACTTAGTTACTTGTACCAGACTGGAGGGAAATCTGATACCTTGGGCACTTGTTCGACCGTAAAATACCAGCCCCCAAGAGTCTTTATCCTGCTCCTTGTCCCTGTCTTCTCAGGCCCTGGAAGGAGGTCCTCAGTAAATCTTTATGGAATAACTGACTGTTTTCAGGATTCCTGTACTCTCTGAATTAGAATGGCATAGAGGGCCCTTGCTAAGTTGCTTGAGTCCCTGAGAGAGGGCAGAGTATGAAGTGTTCAGTACTGGATGTGGCTTCACAGGTCTACCTTTAGAAAAGACTTAGCATGTGAAGCCTGTTGGATAAAGGGCTGGGTTTGCATTTGATCTCTCACTTTTGTATCTCTTGTCCTGGCCGGCCATTTTGATCTCATGCTGTTCTTTTTTCTTTTGAACTTGTAGGTCACCATGTACTTGACAAGATTTCATTTACTTAAGTGCCATGTTGATGATAATAAAACAATTCGTACTCCCCAATGGTGGATATATTACTATTAACAAAGAAGCCAGGGAACATTTTTTAATTTTAATATCATAAGAACCTGAAAATATTGGAAAAGAGATTTTTTATTGTTTGTTTTCTTGTTTTAACACTTTCTTTAGCACATGAGATGGTTTGATGGTTTTTCTGCATTTAAAGGTATTTGGGCAAACAGAAGGGGAGGGCAGCAACAGCACTTCTGAGAATCAGTTTTGACCTTGATTTTTGTTTCCACTGCGGAAATAAATGTTTGTAAATAAATGTAGGTAATAAAGCCCCCTTTGCATTCTTTCTGGGCCTTAAATGGTAGAGAAGAAGGCTCTTGAGCCATTTGTTTCTCTTGCTGGTTATAGTTGCTAATTCTAAAGCTGCTTCAGACTGCCTCATGAGGAGGTTAATCTACAATTAAACAATATTTCCTCTCGGCCGTCCATTATTTTCTGAAGCAGATGGGTCATCATTTCCTGGGCTGTGAAACAAAGCGAGGTTAAGGTTAGACTCTGGGGAATCAGCTCGTTTTCAATCTTATTAGGGTGCAGGAGGAAAACTAATAAGAAAACCTCCTAACATCATTTTGTGACTGTAAACAATTATTTATTAGCAAACAATTGATCCCAGAAGGGCAAATTGTTTGAGTCAGTAATGAGCTGAGAAAAGACAGAGCATATCTGTGTATTTGGAAAAATAATTGTAACGTAATTGCAGTACATTTAGACAGGCATCTATTTGGACCTGTTTCTATCTCTAAATGAATTTTTGGAAACATTAATGAGGTTTACATATTTCTCTGACATTTATATAGTTCTCATGTCCATTTCAGTTGCCCAGCCGCTGGTGATTAAGGTTAAAAAGAAAAAAATTATAGTGAGAATGAGATTCATTTCAATGTAATGCCCTGAAGCAGAACATGAACTTAGCTTGGCCTATTCTAGGTAGTTCCAAATCGTATTTTTGTTGTCACACTTTTTGTTTTTTTATTTATATTGTTTGCAAATGTATGTATCTGAATGGTACTTGGACCTTGACTGAAATTTGTTTTATCCATGATGTATTTTAAAAAATTTCTTTTGCTACAGAGAGAGGTCTTTTATTTGTAAGTATTTTAGTGAAAACTTAGTGTAAGTCTGAACCCATCTTTTGAAATGTATTTTCTTCATTGCAGGTCCACCTAACCATCTCGTGAAAGTGGTTTCTCTATGGAAAGCTTTGTTTGCTTCCTACCAATACATGATTGTCCCTTACGGGGTGCGTTTTAGTCATGTGGACATGTTATGTAGTGTGTGAATTTTTCTGTTCTCTTGTTGGTGTTCCTCCTGGCTGTAGGATGAGGAGTTTGTGTCCTTGTGCAGTAGTCTGAAGAATTGTTTTTCCCTCAGCAAGCCCAGTTGCTGTGTATGGGCAGCTTGAGCTCTTTCTGTAAAATAACCTAAACCTGTTATTTCCATGCTGTCTAATAAATCAGAGATTCAAAACCCTTAAATGTTGGATGTTTTTAAATGTTGGTAATTAATGTAATTTACTTCGTAAAAAGCCTTCTGTAAAGCAAACCTCCCTTCATCAGGGGTCCTGGTGGGGATGACATTGTACCTTTTGGTCCACACTGCCTTGTTTAATTATGTCTATTCTGATGTACTTTGGGGATTCAGTCTTGAATAAAGTGATCTGTTGGAGTTCTGCCATTTCCCTTGTGCACTCTCGCTGGATCAGCAGGGCCCTCGAGCCAGCTGTGTGGCCTGAAGGGACGGGCACAGCTGCAGGCAGCTGCCGGGCCCCTTCTGGCCCAACTCTCCCCAGTAGTGCCAGGGCCGCTGGCCCCTTGCGGCTCCCAGACCCACTGGTGGTGCCGTGAGTGGGCGCACTTGCAGCCAAACGACAGGCCCGTCTGTATGTATCCATCAACTGCTAAATCAAAGGGAAGCCCTTGGGATGGTAAATAATGTAATAGCCAGAGACTAACTGATGGTATTGGTTCTTTAGTGTGATTATGTGCTTTTTAAAGTCATAACCACTTGGTTCAGGACAGAGCATAAATTTAAAACATGGTTTAACTGAAAGAGAATTAATACAGTTTCATAAAAGGTGACTAAATTAAAGCAGTGAGGGGGCCCTGGTTTTGAGGGCATGGTGTGGCCGAGCTGTTTTTGTAGTCTATCTGGATGTCCTCTTGTGTCTTGCAGCCGAACGTGTCTCACCCTGAATGTGTCTCCTGCCGCCTCTGCGGACCTCTTCACCAGCTCCTCTCACAGTTGGCCTGTCTGTCACTGTGGCTGCCTTCCCCTCACATGGCCTGTGGGCAGCACCTTAGCGTTTTATTTGGGTTCCCCTACCCAAATTCCCTTCTGTTTTCAAGTGTGCCTTTGTTTTCTATCTATCTTTTCTTTCTTAAAAGGATCCTTAAAGGGTCCCTCCTGGCCATCTGGGGGTGTGCTGCAGGCTCCAGCCTCCACCCTGAATCCTCTGTTTTCTAGAGCAGTAACACTAAGCAGCGCATTTGAACCATGGTCCAAACTCACAGAGGTCAGTAGAGTGTGTACAGCAGACAGAGCTGTGTGAAGCATCAGCTGTCTTCTGTACGTCTGACACACCAGTTCCCTGCCTGCCTGCCTTTTTTTCCCCCTTCTTTTTTTAGGAAATGCTTGTTATGGCCCTCTGAATGGATTTTATGACTAATGCCTTGCCACCTCTAATTTGAAAAACCACTGTATGCCACACAAAACCTGTTCTTTTTATCGTGCTGTGCTTGAGACCCTCCAGTGCCCCCTGTTGCCCTTCATTCACTTCGCAATAAATATTGTATGCTTCTTCCAAGGCCTGCAGTTCACCAGGAAGGGACTGCAGACTGTCAAGGTGCTCTAGAAGAATGGGGGTGGAGCTGACTTTCACTGGGGAATTCTGGGGGGCAGATGGGAGTGTTCTGGTGGCTTCAGTGTCTGGTTCTGAGCTCCATCATGCAAAAACTTAAAGGTACATTAGTTGGGGGGGGGGTACTGCTTTGTTCTGAGGGAAACCCACGGGACAGCCTGCATCTTGAAGCCTTTGAACCTGACTTTGAATCTTGACTTTGCTGCTTAATTCATTGCACCGTTGGCCATGTTAATTTCTGAGGAGCAGTTTCCTCATCTGTTCAATGAAGGTAATAACTCATGAGGTTATAAATGAATATATAAAATGTTCATTAGGGCACGCCTGACACAGCCATTGCTTTCTTGGGATGAAAAATATTCAATCCATTGCTCTCAGTTACTAGCTAACCTTTCAGTTTATTTTTCATAAATGAACACTCAGATATCTGTGGAATTTCAAGGTCTTAAGTTTGTCAGTGTACTTTTCTTTTAAAAAACATTTATGAACTATTTCCAACATTCAGAAAAACTCAAAAGAGTAACACACCTATAAACCATCTTCCGGATTTTTAAAAAAGACTTATTTTTAATTGGGGCATAATTGCTTTACAATTTTGTGTTGGTTTTTGCCATACATCAACATGAATCAGCTGTAGGTATACATATGTCCCTCCCTCTTGAACCTTCCTCCCACCTCCCACACCATCCCTTCTCTAGATTATCATCATCCAGATTTTAAAATGTTAACATTTTGTCATTTATTTCTCTCTTTTCTTATTTTTTAGAATTTTTATTGGGAGTATAGTTGCTTTACAATGTTAAGTTTCTTGCTGTATATATAAGCTTATGAATTATACTTTATATATACTTTGCTAGTGAGTCAGTCATCTGTATTACATATATCCCTCTTTTGGGTTTCCTTCCCATTTATGTCACCACCAAGTGCTGTGTAGAATTCTCTGTGCTGTAAGTAAGTTCTCTTAGTTATCTATGTTATACACAGTGTGTATACACTGTTTATACACAGTCTCCCAATTCATCTCACCTCTGTGTGTGTGTGTGTGTGTGTGTGTGTGTGTGTGTGTGTGTGCGCGCGCGCGCGCGCGCTTGTATTCAGTCGGCCCCATGGACTTCAGCCCACAAGGCTCTTCTGTCCATGGAATTTTCCAGGCAAGAACACTGACGTGGCTTGCCATTTCCTTCTCCAGGGGGTTATCCCGACCGAGGTGTCAAACCTGTCTTGCGTTTCCTGCATTGGCAGGCAGATTCTTGACCACTAGCGCCACCTGGGAATCCCCCATAAGTTTATATTCTACGTCTGTGACTCTGCAAATAAATTCTACCATTTTTCTAGATTCCACATATAAGTGATATTGTACAATATTTGTTTTTCTTCCCTTTGTTTCAAAGTGAAACATTGCACGTATTTGAAGCCTCATTTGTAACCCCTCTCTCACAAACTTCCCATTTTCCATTCTTAAATGTTATACTTATTTATACCTTTATGCTCATGAAGCATCCACATACAGGCAAACATGGGCGGTATTGTGGGTTCAGTTCCAGACCACTGCAATAAAGTGAGCAATGAAGGATTCACATGAGTATTTTGGTTTCCCAGTGGATGTACAAGTTATGTTTATACTCTAGTCTGTTAAGTGTGCAATAGCATTATGTCTTAAAAATACAGCATACATACCTTGGTTAAATATTGCTAAAAATGCTAACCATAATTTGAGCCTTCAGTGAGTTGTAGTTTTTCGCAAGAGTATCATCAAAGATTACTGATCATAGATCACCATAATAAACATGGTAATAATGAAAAAGTTTTGAAATACTATGAGAATTACAAAATGCAAATACTGTTGGAAAAAATGGCACTGATAGGATTGGCATAAGCCTTCAATTTGTTAAAAAAAAAATATCTGTGAAGTGGAATAAAGTAAAGCATGATAGATAAAGCAAGGTCTACCTGTAAATGTTTTTAAAAATTTGCAGAAATAGTAATACTGTTTTCTGTTTCTATCCTGGAACAACCCACCCCACTTCTGACATCAGATGGTGTTAATAAGATGAGAGGGAAAGGGTCAAGGCTAC